TGTGTTGCATTCCTACATGTCATAGGCAGTCATAGCTCTCCACAATTTCTTATCTCGTATGGGGCTTAGCAGGTTTTCTACCGCTGCCAACACTCGTTCCGTCATCCATTCACTCAAGCCCGTCAGGAAAGCGGTTCGTTGCTTAACCCTCTCTCTCTCTCTCTCTCTCTCTCTCTTTCTCTCTTGCACCCAATATGCGCCGTGAGGCTCAAGTTCATCATTATGTGTCCAACATAAGAGTTGGTTGCTAACTATAAGAGATCTTTCCGTTTCATTTTTAAAAAAAATAGAGATCCTTATTTTTTTTTTACTCTCGGTATTTAATATCCCACCCACGAGGAATATATGTGGCACAAGACCGAGTTTAAAGTGGGTTTCTCCGAGCCCGTAGGCTCGGCCAAAAATGTACCCTTTGAACCCGCCTAGACGGATTCAGGGCCTGTCTACCTCCCCGGACGAAACTTTGCCCTTCGACAAAGCTTCGTCCGGGTTCCTCTCCGTCAAAGCAGAGAGTTTGACAGACGTCGAGACTGTATCTCAACGTATTTTTTTTACTCTCTCTGCCCATGAAATAATTCTATCAAAAAGCATTACTTTAGTCTGATGAAGTCCCCTAGAGAATGAAACGCGTTACACATAATTTTCCGAATTTTTCAACAACTGCCTAACATTTTTCTGGTGTATAGTCAAATTTATATATATATATATATATATATATATATATATATATATATATATATATATATTGGGATTTAACACACTACAAATTTTGAAAATAAATTAGTTATCACCACCACTGGAAATTTTACTACCACTTACAAGACAATCGGAGATTAGATCCAACACCACTTCAGATGACGGGATTTATAAAATAAAATGTGTACCATGTAGATATAATTAATTTGGTGAGATGTCTCGGAATCAATGCATGTATGCACCTGTGAATCTATGTTGGGACAACAATTTAAACGCTCTTTGAACAGGGTGGAACAAGGCTGACAATAATTTGATTTTACAAATGCAAACCTAATTAAAAAAAAAAAAAAAAATGATACTTTACGTCGAAAATACATCGCGGGTGTCCTGATGAAAATTGTACCAACTATGAACACACGTCAAACATGCGAAATTACATGACCAACCTTTATTATTATTTATTAAAGATTTTTAAGTAACTCTGCGTAAATTTTCTCAGTGTTGTCTAATCCCAATATTGAAGTGACAGACGCCTTTTTTTAAGGATGCCAATCACCTGCCCGAATATATTACAAATCTTATTAGAAAAATATGCGCACTCCCGCAGGATACTAACTTTCGTTGCCCTAAGGGAAACCGTCTTGGCCACGATGAACCAGCAAAATCAAAGATTGACTAGAGCTTTTGAACACAGATCTCTCCCGATTCTCATATATCCTGAACGTATATGTTTTCTAATAGTATTTCACAAATATACTGTTTAATAAATAAATAAAATCACAACATCTACTCAATTATAAGTACCAGTGAAAATTGGCTCACTGAGTTGTGCCGAACCAGTCTTGCAAATTTACAAATCTACCTTTCTTCATTAATAGTAAGAGTTACAAGACTTATCTCCCGACGCAGAATTTATTCATTTCCGAGAAAGAAAGAAATTTATCATTTTCAAACGCAATCGTCAGTCTATTTGGCATGATGAATACGTTTAAGCATGAAGCAGCTTATAACATTTCATTGTTGAACTATGTCTTCGATGCGGTATTAAATGTCATAATCTATGAAAAGTGATCTTTGCTACGAGGCGAATAATAATCTGTACACTGAAAATAATAACAGTAGATTCCACTTGAACAATACATACACGATTTATAATTAGACCCACAATTAGAATATATAATGAATTCTGATTTTAAAATATACTAAACATTCAATAATATTTTTTCGTGATGGTGTATTTTTTAAAATAAACTTTAGTTAATTCATAAATAATACTTGATATTATTAATATTATTTACCGAATATATAACTGAAATATATTTGGTCCTGAAGAAAATTAATGTTCTATATATATATATATATATATATATATATATATATATATATATATATATATATATATATATATATATATATATATGGAATTCTTCACGAAATATCATTTACTATTTTCCATTATGATGATCAATTACGCTGTCTTTTTTTCCATTGGGAGAAAAGAGTTAATACAAATCGATAGAATATTAAAGAGTCAAAAATATATTGCTTTGATAAGAGCAAAAATTTCATTCTCATGAATCGCATGCAACAAAGAATTTTCTTATTGATGAAGACATTAAAGTGATATGTTAGACTCTCCTTTCGTATTCGACGTATGAGGGTCAAGCAGCTGAGTTTCTAGGAATCCACAACCCAGACATCAGTACATACGAATGATTAGAGCAGTAAAAGCTTTGTGCAGAACCACCCACACTTTTCAAGGACCGAATACAGACACTTGTTGAACTACGTGCCACAAGGTCCCCAAACGACATTCCGCAGGTTTTGGATTCAGCGTAGTCCTTCTCCTAGAACAGTTGCCATCCAAGGCTATATAATCCAATTCAGCCCTGCTATTTACCATAACTAGAGGGGGGAAGAAGAAGATTAATATATTTCCCAAGCGTCTTAGCACGTAAGTGAATGTAATGGAATGTAACGAATGTAAGTGAATATAATAGATTCGACAAGGTGGTCTAAATAGCTTAGCATCGATCCACGTCGTGTTAGGATTGTAGTGCTTATCAATGGGAACAATTTTATATAGAGTTAGAAATTTTCATTTTCCTAAATATATAAAGCCATTCGATGTTACTATTTTTCTAGGGTCATATAACTTCTGAATGCCGATTTTCGGCTTCACCATATTTTCAGATCTGTATCCTGTCCAGCGGTAATATGTTTGCGTAAATATTTGCTAAATATCTTAATGACTTTAAATACTAAAAAAAAAAGTCGAAGAGATTCAGTGACTTCAGACAGGCATTTATTGTTTTAGAATGGAATCTCGCTTTTTGCTAGCCACTGTACTTGTTTACTCAAATACAAAATCAATTCTGTAAATGTTTTGGTTAAAAGCTGGACATGCATACACGGGTTGATGTGTTGATATTAATTTTAATAAATACACACACACACATGCATACATATATATTTTAAAGTGGTGGGGTGATGGATAGCAGCTCGGACTGAGAAATAGGAGAGCTGAGTTCAAATTTTAGTCGAATCCTTTACAATCAGTTACCTGCTAATACAGTAGGGAAAGGTATTAATCCTCTTCATTTCCCTCCAGCTATGTCTAAATCGTAAAACAGATTGGTTTCTATAGCATTAGATGGCAACTTGCATATATATATATAAATGAGACTTCCATTTTCCATGCTTAGAACATTGTTGCAATATATATATATATATATATATATATATATATATATACCTGAACCCAGATGTCTTCAGTTCTTAAGTTTTTTCTGGAAGGAAGGAATTAGATCGACCTGGATTATACTAATAAAAACATTGAGCTATCGGTGGATCAGTTTTAATATTTGTTATTACTAGGAGCCACCTGGATTATATTCCAAAGGAACTATTACCTGTACAATATATCTGTTTATTTGGCCATTCTCTCCAAAGCTTGAAAATTATTTAATTATTTACGTGCCTCTAAGTACCTGAGTGCCTGTGAAAGTTCTACATAAAGTAAATGAAATTTTACTCTCGTGATATATACACCCCCCCAACAAATTACGTGTCCCTATTGCATATAGAAATATAAGTTACACCATATTTTCAAGCATCTTCGGTATTTCCTTTTGTAGTGATCCCCAAGTGCCAGGGATGAATTATATCCACCGCGCAAGAATTAGCATAATAATAATTGTAAATCCATATAATAATGCAGGTTCTTTGACGATATTCATCAGAACCTCTACTCGAAGAGAATATGACAGAAGATTTACAATTTAATGGTAGTACCTTCAGAATTCCACGGATAATAATATTTTTAAACCCGGATTTTATCATAGGATATATCCCTACTCTTACTCAAACTGAATAGGATACCCACAGCATGCATAGTATCTAAGTCTAAAATTAAGTTAATTCCTTTATGCATTTCATCTTCCGGGATGGCTTCAGGCACCAGGGATTAAGCCGAGCCGTGACACGAGGGAGAACTGACAGTCACTACGATTAAAGGTTATAATTTTAAACCCTCATGAATTTGGGATTTAACAGGGGATTTATTCATACAAACACTTGAATGAAATGTGGCAGTTAATGAATTTAAGGTGGGACCTCCGTGTATACATGGGACAAAAATATTAAATATAGGCATTTTCCCATATATAGATATTTCAAGCGACAGGAATAACCTGAGAGATAGGTATTGCTTCAGCCTGTGTTAATAGTAATTGTATTCCACGAACATGCGTTATTTCCATACATCCACAGGCACGGGAATGCATTTTATTGAGTTGTTCATAATCGGATTAAAAAAAGGTCAATTTACAAAGATATATATGTGCAAATGTCCAAAATATCGAGACATCAAAGATTCAAATATACCGAGGTAAAATAAATTTGAAACAACCTGAATATGTTTTTAAATTTTCGCAAATTCAACCATACGAGCTGGATTACCGAAAATGATCACACAGAATTTTCAATAAGTGTCTTTCCTTGGGTGTCATCGATGAAGCACGCTTCGACGATTATGTCTCATTTTGATTCATGGTTGACTTGGCAGAATGTTTCTTGAAGTAGGCTGCCGTCACATTCTGCGCTGGACTGGAGGTCAACAATGGTTAATAAGACCCTGTCCGATTATTTAACCCATAGCTTGGGTAGAAGATATATATTCAGACCTTTCCCAAGTGTAATCGCGCATAACTGAATATAATGAACTCAACAGAATTTGGAACTTAACTCTCCGATTTACTATTTTGATCTATTATACATTACACTACACGTATATTCGAGCTTATCTGGTTTTCCCAAGCGGTCACCCATCCAGGTACTGACCAAGATCGACTTTGCTTAATTTCACTGATCGTAGGAGAACCGGTGCTTCAAACATGATAAGGCTTTTCAGATACATTATTAGCCTTTCTAGATAAAAATAAAACAATTTCTGGAAGCACATGATTTGTTTTTTTGTTTTTTCTTTATAGTTTATGAAACTTTCATAGGGTACTTAAAACCCAAATATATGTTTTGGTTGTAAGAGTTCGCTTACAATACTTGATTTAGTTAAAGTTGAAATCTTCCTTCAATTGCGAGTAAACGATACGCGGCGGTACGTGTTAGCACTCATATAGAAATAGTTACAATACCTATATCATAGCAGGCATCTTTTCTAGTTGTCAGTCGAGAACTTTTTGTCTACTGGGGCCAACATTGAATCACCATAAACAATCGAGTAGAATTTCTCCAGAGGGAACATCCAAATCTTCGAACGTCTATTAACTAAGTTTCCAGAAAGAGCACTTATCAGATCTCGAAGGAAGTGCTTTCATTAGACCTTTCAGGAAACTAAACCCCCATTGCATTATTTCCGTCTATGTCAGTCAACGATGCACATATAAATGTCTGACTTGATAACAAAGAAGGCTGGACATACGAAAATATCTATTACAAATTAGCATACAGATCACAATCGGCTTTCTTATTCAATTGGTTGATATTTTAAATTTTGAGAGATTATTTCTATTTTCTTGGCTTTACATCACTCACTGAACTGAGCGAAGCGAGAAATAAGTTGGGTTTGTTTTGTTGTTTTACGGTATATCACTCTCAATGGATCATTTAATACCAAAAACTTTTTTCTGGTAATATTTTTCTTTTGTCAAAAATCTATTTCTGTTAATATTTTTTCCTAAAAAATGTATAGCTGGTAATATTATTTTTTTCAAAAATGTATAGTAGGTAATATTTTTTTCAATATTTTTTGTTAATATTATTGTTTCAAAAACGCATTGTTGGTAATAGTTTTTTTTTTTTCAAAAACCTATTGATGGTAATATTTTTTTTCTTCAAAAATTTATTTCTGGTAATAATTTTTTACAAAGTATTTCTGGTATTAAACCTATTTTTACACTTTCATAATGCTTTCTATCTCAGCTTCGGGGTCTACTATTTGCTCAAAGCTGGGACTATAACAGGTGCTACCAACCTGGGTCAGGGCGGACCTGGGAACATCAGCAATTAAGAGGTGCTTCCACGCTCCTCAAAGCCTCCTGATCAGAGGCCTTGCTGTTGGACGTAGTTTATCGTCTTACCCTGGGCGCGGATGTAGTTTATCATCATACACGGAACGGGAGAAATAAGCATACAGATTTTAATTGGCTTCATACAATCTGTATTAGCAACAAGGCTGTTTCAAATTGAAGCCGCACTGCAAATAAATGGAATTTGTAACTTTTAATGTGGCACTTCGCCACCGAGCATGCCTGTCTACCAAGATTCTGTTGCATTTCTTCAAAACGGGCAGAGACCCACGTGTGATTTATAAGATGAAGCCACAAATGAGAAAAGATGGGTTCATTTCTTTCCCAAAATTATTTGCGCGAAAATGAATGAAACTCTCTTTACCGGAATATCGAACTAAGCACGTCGATTTCCAAATCTGAGCCTCTAACCATTACACTACCTGCATGACATATAGAAATAGGCACTGAATGAACACGCTGTCAAATATTTTCGGCACGTAGCCATCATTCCTTTAAGAGATTTGAACTAACAGGTTTTCGGATGCAATCATCTTAGCAGATGAACATCCAAAGACATAACTGTCAGTAAATAATCTCTAACAAGGTAGAGAATTTTATTAATGCTTCAAAAATGGACAGTGAATACACACACACACACAGATATATATATATATATATATATATATATATATATATATATATTATTCATACATACATATACATATATACATACATATTTATATATATATATATATATACGTACATACACACATATATATATATATGTTATATATATATGTTATATATATATATATATATATATATATATATATATATATATATATATATATATATATATATATATATATATATATATATATATATATATATATATATATATATATATATATATATATATATATATATATATATATATATATATATATATATATATATATATATATATATATATATATATATATATATATATATATATATATATATATATATATATATATATATATATATATATATATATATATATATATATATATATATATATATATTGTCGAAAAATAGTTGGAAAAGGTTTAGTCGGTTATCGATCCCTGCCTTTAAAGTCAATAGAAGAGTAAAATGTGTGCACAGCAACTAAAAATTATAGCAAAAATTCTACTAGTAGTATAAAATACAGACATATTATATTTCGACCATTTGTTTTTTATTTAATCATTCATTCTTTTATGGTTTATCAACCCTTTGAACGTTATTTATTTCTTTTAATTTCTTTAGCTTAATCAGTAGATAGATTGGGTGATTCATTTTCTACGGCTTATCAGGTTATTTAAAGCCAGAATATATCTTGAGATTGATAATAATGGTATAGTTGTACAAGTATTACTAATTAACTGATATATGAGGGAGAAGAGATTGATTCATAATTTTCCCCAAAGTATTTGTGAGTATGTGATTATAATGAATTCCAACTGGAACTCGGCTCTCTGATTAACAATTCACAGCCATTATCCATTACACCACCCGGACATTGAAGCTTACAGCGTCTGATATTCTCAGACCATTTGTTTTACATTTATATCATATTACAATTATACATGTCCCTCCTTTCTTTTCTCCCTTTGACCCATACGCCATGCTAATATCTCATATATAATTGACTACACCATTTTTACAGCGTGGATAGAAGGAAAGGACAGTACTTTGTTTCAGTGAAGCAACGGAAGAGAGAAATGAAGATGAAGAATGAGAATGAGTTTATAAGAACAGATACTACAATTTGATCTCAGCCCGGCTACTATAAAAGTAATGAAGATAGAAGTGATATTTAGCTACCCACCACGAGGGTTACAAATGGCACAAGGCCGGGTTTAATGTGGGATTTCCGAGCCCGTAGGCTCGACCCAAAATATCCCCTCTTTGAACCCGCATAAGCGGTTTCAGGGTCAGTCAACCACCCCGAACGAGACTCTGCCCTTTGGCGGAGCCTCGTCCGGGTTCCTCTCCGCCCGAGAGCAGAGAGTTAGACTCTTACTTAGCAAATATTTTTGCCACATTGAAGACAGAAGGATTAAAGTCTCCTACCAATACCTCATAAGTAATGCATTATTCCGTCTTGGAAAAACGTTGTCAATCGGAAATATTTTCATTTGTACCACTTCTTAATATATTGGTCAGCATTCATATTTATAATTGATTATGAAATATTTTGTTAAAGCGGTTAAGCTCATATTTATCTATGAATTTCTACGGATATTTTATTGTCGTAGAACACGCCATGTACTTTTTTTTTTTCTTTCTATGTGTCGTGTTCGTTCAGCACGTAGGCGGCCATGGCTCTCCACCTCTCTCTACTCCTTGAAGCTCTCAACAAATTCTTTCCCACTGCCACTTCCCCAGACCACGTTCTGTCATCCAATTGCTTAAGGCCGCTAGGTATGTCACGCGTTGTTTTCTCTTGTCTCTCTCTTTCTCTCTATTCGACCCATGAGTATCAGATTCGTCAGGCCCTCCTTCCTCATTATGTATCCCAGGAACTTCATCTGCCTCTTCCTGATGTTAAGTCTAAGACTCCACTTTGTTTGAATCCTTTCCAAAACCTCATTGATGCTTACACGCTCGGTCCATGATATCGTCAGCATACTTCTGTAGATCCACATCTCCGTCGCCTGCCTCTTCATCTTTCACGAATCGCCCAACATTCGCTGCCGTAAAGAAAGACAGATGTCACGCAACAGCTCACTATTCCTTTATACGTTACCAAAGAAAACCTCCGGTCTCGTGATACTCTGGCCACCTTTTGGATTGTTTCCTTGGCCATCCCAATACTTCTAGGCATCTCAGTGTCGCATTTAACGTTGTCTGTCAGAACGCTTCCCAGATATTTAAATTTCCGTATTTGCTTGATTCTAGTGTCCCCTACCTTCAAATCGCATTTGGGTCTCATCATTTTACTGATGATCATGCAATCTTTTTCTTGTAGTTTATGCTTTGTCCTTTCTTTACACTCTCGTGTCTGCTAAAGAAATACGACCCTTCAGAAAATTCAAATAGAAAAACCGTAATATTTTAACAGGTCTTTCTAATATATATAAATTTATATCACGAAATAATGGATTTATGTTTAATACACTTTTTGTATTACTTCAAACGTTAATATAGTGGATACATCGTATTTAAAGTAGACGCTTCATTAAATTTAACTCAAAGTATTTGATAAATAAAAATACGACTTCTATTTGAAATACGAAGTGTCAACTGTAATAACGTTTGAAGTAATGAAAATATACGTGTATATAATTTAAAAAGTCCGGTTTTAAATCATTCATTACTGTCCCTATGAGTTAGGTTCTGATGTAAATAACATTTCTTTTTATTTTATCCCTTATTGCAATGATTTATATTATTACAACTTTTAGAAATGACATCCTTTTCATCATATAATATAATTTTAATTGCAAAATCAAATGTTGAAAATCTTCGGTCAGTAATCTGTATTTTGATAACAAAATACCAGAATACTAGATTTGGGGAGTACGTTCTGCCAGGTGATGATCAGTATCCTGATTTATATATTGTTTTTGATCAGGAAAATTATTATTTATTGAATAAATGTTAACATATATGAAATTCGATTCAAATTTTTCCATAACGACTATCTATTATTCCCCCTCTTTAAACGCCGACATTGCGTTACCCTTAGCGACGTGGGCGCGCTAAAAATTCCATTATCAACTATTTCTATATATTCATTTCAGGGTAACGTAAATTCAACCTAAGTCTGTATGTAAGTTCGTTAGACACCGATGAGGATTATAGAGCCTCTCAATGCTAAAATTTGCATCAATCGTTCCAACAGGA